CCGGAGCAGGGAGCTGCCATGCAGGAGAGCGTGCGGCAGAGCTCTTGTGATCGCCCACCCGCTTTTAGCTCAGCCCCCACCTGTTTCCCAAGCTGGAACAGGAGGTTTCTCATTTCTTCTCTGTGGAGAGCAATGAGCACCCAGGGAATGCAGGGAATCCCCGCCGGCACTCCGGCACATGCCTGAGGCTTTCCCTCTGCATAGGCTGGGGAGCTCCGTCTCCAGCCCCAGGCATGAGCACCGGGATGGCGGGGTCAGAAGCACATCCAACTCCATAATTTAAAGCTTGTAGACCTTTCTTAATCAGAGGATTTTAGGGGCCTGGTTTGCCCCTCTCCCTTTGTTTTGTGTAGCGCAGAGACCATGGTGCAGCACTGGCTTTGCAGAGCTGCCTTGCTCCACCTGCTCGATGCCCCAGTTCCTGGCTGGTTGAGGCATCACAGCCCCAGGACGGGTCCCAAAGTCCCAGGACAGGTCCCACAGCCCCACGATGCAGCTGGAGGGGTCTGGAGGTAGTGCTGGCCCCAGAAACGAGCTGTCTCCCCGCAGAGAGCAGCTGCTCTCGGGAGAGATGGGGCTTGCGGAGACAGTGCAGTGAGAGTGGCTGGGATAGGTAAGAGGAATCCCAAGTGGCAGTGATGACCTCCAAAACCACCAGGCCACGTCGTCCCTTTGTCACATATGACCTCAAGCACATCAATTGGTTGGATGTCTCCATAAGCAGTATTTACTTGCCCAGTCTCTGCCCACTGAAGAGTGACTTGTCACTCCGCAACAGCTTGAGAAGTTGGTGAGAGTTGGACTAACACTGGTTGGGAACTGGTTTTCCATTTTGGACATGTATGAGGGATTTAAAAAAAAAAAAACAATAAAACCAAACAAACCCAAATGTTCTCAACTCTGGATTTAGAAAAGAGTGAAAATCAGAGATCCACAGAATTAGAAAAGAAATAGGAGTTGTCTGAGGTCCCTAGGCAGACATTCCCTGCATTTCACTGATGCTTTTGCTACTGTCAGGTTAAATTTAAGTTCTAACAGTCTGAATTGTGGTTTCATCCCACCTCAGGGGACTCAGAGCAAGAAGTCATGCTGAAAACCAAGACTCCCAAAGCCACAGTGGGGGGGCTGAGCCCTACCAAGGAATACACGCTGCAGGTCTACGTGCTCAATGGCTCCCAGGAAGCCCTGTTTGCCAAGAGGAAATTTGTGAGTAAGTAAAGCACGCTATATTTTACCATTCAGAGAGCTCCTGAGGCTCTTGGAGATGTGGCTCCTGAGAGCTCATCCTCCAGAGTATGACCTGCAGACTATGCTGCAAAACCAGAACCTGTTACTATTTTGGTTGCAAGGTTAGAAAGGGAGATGGAGAAGACCCAGGGGGTGAGGGTTGGACTGTGACTCTCAGACCTATCTAGATTGACACTTTCTCTCTGTTTGTGGTCTTCCTACAGTAGAGGAGCTAAAAAATGCATCCCAGGCTAGAAATAACCGAAGAAAATCAGGAGCTGTGTCAGGAAAGAATCTCACCTCTTCGGGCAGCTCAGCAGCTGAGCACAGCGGGGTGGCAGAGGCCACCCCACCACCCCTGAACACTGTCTTGACACAGCCAGGTGAGTGCATGGCTGTCCCTAAAACCACCCCCTGCAACCCCTGCTTCATCAGGGACATTCATTCAGTGAGACATTCTAGCCCAGTTGCATCTCTTGTGTGCCTCTCTGAACTACAAGAACACAGTAAGCAACCTGAAAATTCTTGCCCCTCATGCCAGCCAGACTGTGCAGCCTGACAAAGCACATCCATGTGTTCCTGGGGCTGGCAGGTATTCCAATTAACCAGATACAGTCAAATCCTTCAACTGAGAGCGGATCCTTTGAGAACAAGCTGCTCCCAAAGTGCTGGGGCTAATGATGCCTGATTTCCTAAGCTGCAGGTGGTCTACAAGAAGGTGTGACCTCTTCCCTATGGCTGAGGACTGCATATAACCACACAGATTCTCATTTGTTTAGCAACAAGGTTTGCGTGGGTTCAAAAAAGCATTTACATATGTTGATGGAAGAAAGATCCATCAGAGCCATATTACAAAAAGACTGGCACAACACAGGATGTTTCCGAGTCACAGATTGCTGAGGTCTGGAGAATACACTGGGTATCAGGTGCTGTGGTATATTTTTCCTGGTTTATGTTTTATAAATGTTCATTACTTTTCATTGTCAAAGATAACAGGAGGTGTTGTTCAGCCTGGAGAAGAGAAGAGAAGGCTCCAGGGAGACCTTCTAGCAGCCTTCCAATTCTTAAAGGAGGCCTACAGAAAGCTGGAGAGAGACTTTTGACAAGGGCATGTAGTGACAGGACAAGGGGCAATGACTTTAAACTGAAAGAGGGGAGATTTAGATTAGAGATAAGGAAGAAATTCTTCACTGTGAGGGTGCTGAGGCACTGGCACAGGTTGCCCAGAGAAGTTGTGGCTGCCCTGGAAGTGTTCAAGGCCAGATTGGACAAGGCTTTGAGAAACCTGATCTAATGGAAGGTGTCCCTGCTTGTGGCAGGGGGGTTGGAACTAGATGATCTTGAAGGTCCCTTCCAACCCAAACCATTCTATGATTCTATAACAAACTTTTGATGTGGTCTGTTACTGATGTTATTAACTCATGAGCCCACTTGCTGCCCTCTCCGAGAGGTATGAACGAAGATGGTCTCCTCTGTCTAACTACCTATTTGCAAAAGGTTGTAGGACTTTCATACTCTCTGAGTCCCCTACACCTCTGTCAAAAGTGGCTGAAATCAGCTGATGACTGCAGCAGGGTGCATGGGGATAACACAGCTAGGGACAACGAATTCATTTTCTCTTCGGAGCACAGCAAAGGACAAAGCTGAAAAGAAAAGGCAGAAGGGGACTCAGCCAAAGGGCTCAGGAGAAACCACAAGAAACCAGGTCAGTGTGGAGGTCAGTGTGACAGAAGCAACAGCAACGACCACGAGATCATCCCAGCGAATTCCTGCAAACTCAGAGCGAGAGTCTCCAGGAAAAGAAAAGCCCACGAAGGATTCATTGAGGCGAGGTGAGAGGGGTTTCAAACACGTCTTGCTCCTTCTTCCCCGCTGCTTCCCCTAAAGCTCATTGAATACAAGCCTTCCCTCTCACTCTCTGACACCAAGGTTTTCAAGACTACAAATGCTGCTGATAGTGGTTTTAATTGCTAGGTCACACTTTGGGGAACTGTCAGGAATCACTGGAGAAATCTGGAGTTCTGCAGAACATCACAGATTTGAAGGCAAACTGGAGCTGGGCCAAAAATTCCTTCCAGATGGTTTAATTTATTGATTTGCTACTATTCTCTCTATTTGGGTTGCCAAATCCCCCTGCTTCTGACAGATCCATGTAAGAGTTTGTGTTCGTCAACAGTCCCTAGCTATGGACCTTCCCAAGCCTTCAGAAGGGGAGGAGCACATCAGTGACGTTTTTTACCAACCTGCTCCACCTCCTGGAATTGTTCTTCATGCTTCACAGATAACTGATCCAGGATGATCCTTGTCATTCCTCAGTTGAGATTATGGCTACAGCACTGTTGAAGTGGTCGGAATGGGATTGGCCAGAGCGTCCTCATTTGGTCCCTTGAAACCAGTAGGAATCCATGGCTGTGAAAAGAGATAGCAGAGTAGCCCCTTTGCAGCCCACTGGATCTTGATGGGATCATCTATTTCCCTCCACCAAAGATGGAAAATCCCCCAACCGAGAAATATTCGGGGAAGATGCATTTGATCAGCAACATGCCCTGTCTTATCCTCTGCTGAGCTGCAGGCCTGGGGTGGGGAGGAAGGCAGGGCTTGAGTATCTGTGATGCCAGCAGGGTTTTACAGAGAGATTTGATTTAATATAAAGCCACGAAACAGTTAGAGCCCACGGGGGATCTCGTGATGGAATGGGATGGAATGGAATTGAACTGCAATCACCTGCAATTCTTGGAGACTCAGGCTAGATAAAAGGGAAGCACTGGGCTGGAGCTGGGATGTAAGGGGGCTGACAGCCTGCAGGGAGCAGTGCTTGGGTTAGGCTCACGCTTCCTGACAGCTTTAACCCATTCGTTGCAGAAACGCAGCTGAGCACCACTCAGTTTCTTGGCTCCGAGATGGGTTACCCTTAGCCACGTGGTTTTCCCAAGATGCTGGGACGTGTCAGGCTGACAGATGGTCCAATCCACCATCCAGACAAGGCCTGACACTGCAGATTTTCTTTTTATTTTAAAACTGAAGCTTTTTTTCCTCCTTTACAATCGCTTCTCTCAATATCAAACCTTATACCCTCCAGGTTCCCAGTTTCAGTGTGACTCATCTGCAATGACTGATATTGTCCTGCTTGTGGATGGATCTTGGAGCATTGGACGCAGCAATTTCAAGCTCATCAAGGAGTTTCTGAGCAATTTGATTTCCCCATTCAGTATTGCCCAAGACAAGATAAGAGTAGGTAGGACACTTTCTTGTTTCCTGATCTTGAGAAGTCAATATTTGAAGGAGCCTTGATCTCTCTTCCTGTGGCTATGTGCTCTTCTGTGGAGTTTTTATTCCTTTAGAGTGGGGTCCTGCTTGCTGCTCTTGACAGCTTTTCCTACCTGGGAGCAAGGTCTGGCCTCTAGCAACTGTAAGCAATAGCTGCCCAGTGAGCAGAAGCAACGTCTTCTGGGCAGGACCAGGTTGGGCGTTGGTGCTGAGACACATTTGAGGTTTGCTACCCACCTCTGACAAGGTGCTCAGCCTCCCCAGCACTGCACAGACAGATGTGGTGGCCATGCTGCAGTGGAGCTGCTTTGAGTTCTGCTAAGAACGGTGCTGCTTCCAGTTCTGAGTGTTGCTGACTTCAGCAGACGGCACTGGCCAGGCTGTGCGTGAAATTAGGACGGTGTAAATCCTTCCTACTCCTTGCAGCTGACTAGTTGGACCCTGATTAACACTGAGATCTTATCAAACACTTCAGGGCACCACCGCAGGGGTCAGTACCGCTGTACTCAGTGGGATCTGAAGCATCACCTCGCTGCCTGCATGACAAGGACCATGCAGAGAAGCGGAGCTAGAAACCAAACCTGCTCACCTCCGCTCCCTTTCATTATTTTGTGGCATCCTCCCATGGCAAGCCTGACACTACCTCCCCAAAACGGGCCTCCTCTTGCAGCCTACCTTGGTTTGCATGATGTCGATAGCTGTTTCCCTCCCCAGGACTGTCCCAGTACAGCAGCGATCCCCGCACGGAGTGGGATCTGAGCACTTACTCTACGAGGGACCAGGTGCTGGAGGCCATGAGGAATTTGCGGTACAAGGGTGGCAACACCTTTACAGGTAACTCCATCTTGCAGGTCTCTGCTAGATCACCTGTGCGGCTGCAGTGGGGGAAGCTGTTCCCATGGGATGACCTCCATGGGGACCAAAGCCATTGGGGGGCAGAGAAAAGAGTAAAGGTGGGGGGGTTGTCTGCAAGGCTGTAAACACCATCCACCTCTGCTCTTCCTCAGGTCTAGCGCTGACCCATGTCCTGGAGCAGAATTTGAAGCCAGATGCTGGTGCCCGGCTGGAGGCTGAGAAGCTGGTAATCCTCCTGACTGATGGGAAGTCCCAGGATGATGCCAACCTGGCTGCTCAGACCTTGAAAAACCTGGGTATAGAGATATTTGCCATTGGTAAGATCACAGCCATCAATAAGCTGTAGGACAAAACCAACCTACTTTTTGATCTTCTTCAAATTGAACCTTATGTTCCCTCAACTTTGTTAGGAGCATCCTGATGCTTTAAGACTAAAGTAATGGGTAAGACCTCATTATATTGTGGCTAAGTATTCAGCACAGGCAGTGTCTTCAAAGAGAATTTTGTTTGTTTAGAAATAACACTCATTCACACAAGATATTTCACATCTTCCATCCATAAAGACCTTTGTGAGCCTCAGAAACCTGTGCCATGAGAACAATATCCTCGGCTGTGGAATTAGGCAAAAGAACATTGTATTGGGGAGGGCAGGAAACCTACTTGATAATTACTGCCTCTCACAACTTTCCATTTCTCTGAATAATAACATTACCTGCTCCTTGCTATCCAGCAGCAATAATGAGACATAAAATGGCCTTGAGCAGCTCTGTCCTTGATGACTAAGCAAGTCTGCTAGACTTATACATAAGCAATAAAGTTACATACAAAATTCACCTAAAATTGCAATCTCCAAAACTTTAAATGCAAATTTATGTTGGAAAGACACAAGCAAGGGTTGATTGTGTAGCGTTATGTAGCGAAGAGGCTGGCACTGTGATTGCTTTCCTGGACTCAGTGGAGCTGCTGAGCCTCAGCTGGATGTTGAGCAGCTCAACAGACTAACATCTGTGTACCTGAAATCACCCGGAGATCTGTCCCCAGCTGGGATCTTTGCCTTTCCTCTCCGGTTAGAGGAATATCACGTTGTTTGGTCCTTAGACATCAGGACCTGAGTATTAATCTCAATGGAGCCTTGGTTCTCGCTGCAAGAGCAAGGAGGAAGGAGGCTAGCAAAGTTGTTAAAGTCATGGTCTTGGACTTGAGAAACCAGGTGGGATCTCTGTCAGGTAATGCTACTGCTTGGGCAATGCTAGGGTGACCTCGAGCCTGGCACTGGGAAGCAAAGTAAGTTGTATGCTGTGGGGCTTGGTCTGCAGAGGGTTAATGAGGATGCGGAGCAGAAGGATAGGGATGGAGGATGCTCTGTGATGGTGAAGTTCTGCTAAATAAATGGTCCGCTTTTTGCTCATCCCTGGCACCCTTGAAATGCAATGTGATGTTCTGATGAACAACAGACTCTCTTTTGGGAGTGCTGGCACCCCATAAATATGAAATTGTTGTTTATTCATTCACTCATTCCCTCATTCCCCCGTTTATGCCAACTGCCTCTTAGGGTCAAAAATATCTGCCTTCCTAGTAGGAAAGCCTGCAAGTGATGAGGAGGCAGGAACACAAGAGAAGGATTCAGTAGACGATCTCCAGGCCACAAAAGACCTTCTGAGCCCACAAAGTGGAAACCCCTTCCCAGGCTGGGCTGAGGCTGTTGCTGCAGGAAAGCCAGCACCCTACTGGAATGACTGGGAGGCTCTGCCTGGAGAGCAGGATGAGAGTGGACCCTGTTTGTTGAACAAACAACACAGAAGCAGGAGGCAGAAGGTGCGCCTCTCTGGGGGGCTTTCTCAATCCTGTTCTCTGCTCTGGTTGCAGGGGTGAAGAACGCGGACGAGGCAGAGCTGAAGCAGGTGGCCTCGGAGCCACTGGAGCTCACGGTGTACAACGTGCTGGATTTCCCACTGCTGAGCTCTCTGGTTGGCAGGCTCACCCAGGTCCTGTGCTCCAGGATCAAAGAGAAGAGCAACAAGGAAAACTCAGGTGAAGTGAAACTTCCTTAGTGAGGACTGAGCTTCCTTCTGCTCACCATTGACCTTCCTTGCCATCAGGATTGACCCCTCATACCTTTCCCTCCATCAACCTGCCAGCACCACCTAACTCTTCTCCAGTGCTGATCTCCTTGCTCAACACTCTTGCTGCCCAACAATGCTCCTTGCCACATCAATGTGTTGGCCAGTTTCTCCTGTGATTGTTGTCTTCTACAAGACCCTCTAGATGCATTTCTTCCACTTTCGCTCCACTGCAAACTCCCTGCTGTCTCTAAGAAGTCACAGAGAGATGTTACCTGTAGATGTTTCCATTTTGATGCCCTTGGTTTAGATACCTGCTTGTGGCCTGTGAGCCAATACAGGTAACAGCCATTTTTACCAACAGTTTGGATAACTCTTGGTAGATACAATCACCTAATGACACTAACTACCATTATAGGGAAGAGGGGACTTCTTTTCCTTCTTCCATTGTCATATGGTGTGATAAATGTGTTGTAATCATCTCCTTTGGTGAGTTTCTCCCAAAGAAGAGGAGGCAGAAAAAACAAAAGCGCTATTTTGAGAATATACATATGGAGTGTAAGGAGGAAATGTGGAGGTAGGAAGAAGAGATTGAAAAACATCTAAACACTTTTTTTTTTTTTCCCGACACTTTACTTTCAGTGATGGATCTCCAACGCATTTTCAAGTTAAAAATAAACAGCTTATTTCTTTCCTGTGCTGGAGAGCAGCTTGTGTGATGAACAAGAGAGTGAAGAACCACTCCAGATGTTAGCTTATGTCCTCAGGAGAGATATCGTGTACATATTTTCATCTCACTCTGCTCTAAGATTGGCCTAAGGAGAATGGGAAAGTCTAACTTTCAAGCATACTTTTATTTTAATGCTCTGGAGATTCATATAAATAAATGGATTCATGCTTATCAATTCATACTTGTTTGATATAATCAGACATTTTTCAAAGGTGCAGATCAGGCTAAAGAAAGATGAGCCACTCAAAAATAAACCAAAATAACTTCTACTTGTTCATTTTGACAAATTTTCATGATTGAGGAAAGCTGGATCATCTTTTGGATACACACAAAAACATGGACTTGTGTTGAAAAAGTATTCCCAGCACCCAGCAAATTACATAACCTGTTCTCTATGGATTATTTATGTTCTCTGTATGCCCAGTTTTAAAATATTTATTTCAGAGAAGTTTGGAACAGTTTCTATACTCTACAGGGAAGGAGACTGTAACTTGATTGGAAAAATGTCACTCATGTTTATGAGCTGGCAAGTACATTTGGCATGAGAAGTCTGAATACGAGAAAATAACTGTGTTTTTAATTTCTAGGCAGCACTGTGAAAGATATCCCAGTGAACACAGGTCCCCAGCTGAGCCCAACTGACCTTAAAATATCATCTGTGACCTCTAAAAGCATGCACTTGACCTGGAGTCCTCCTCTGAGACCACCAAAGAAATATCGGATTGTGTATTATCCATCTAAGGGTGGTATCACCAAAGAGGTGAGAGACCTTCCTCTGGACGTCTGAGATTTCAGCATCTTCCAGAGGGTGGATGGGAATTTAAGTAGACTTGAGTAGACAAAAAGATGAGGGTAGAGGTACAGTTCTTGTGGGCTATCAGCTAAAGCCAGGGATGAAATTAAATGCACAATGAGTGTAAGTGTGATCAGCTGATAGGACGACAAGATAGAAGAGGAAATGAGTTAAATATTAGCTTGCTAGAAGTACTGCAAGCCATGCTGACACCGATGCTGCTCTTATGCAGTGTTATCCCCTTCCTAAAGCATCTGTTTTGGAGGATGCACAGGTACACAGAGCAGCCCAAGGATGCTCCTCGGTGATTGATATGACTTAGAAAGGAAATCCAAATTGTTGATGGATTTCTATGGATTTCAATGAGAGCATGATTCGAGTCTTGTGCTTGATGTTTGCACAGATCCCTGCCTTAGAGGACAGGAATGCTCACTGCCTCTTACCTCTCTATTTCGGGGAGATGCTAACTGGCACAAAATTCAGAGGGCAACTGGACTTCGTGCCTCTGGTCACAGCTCTGCCACAAAGAAGCCACGTTTGCTAGGGGAGGCCAGTTCAGGCATTCCTTTGCTGGCACCTCCCCATCTTGACAGCCCTCCTTTGTGCTTTCAGGTGGTTTTAGATGGAGCAGTCTCCTCTTTGTGGCTTTCCAATTTGACCTCGCACACGGAGTATCTGGTGTCGGTGTTTCCTGTTTATGACACAGTCGTTGGGGATGGGCTGAGAGGTGTCACCTCCACATGTAGGTCGTGAGTAGAGAGAATTGTGCTGATATGATAGGTGAAAAATGCTCTTTCTTTGCAACCATCTCGAACTGGAGCCCGATGTTGTATTTTTCCACTTTCCTCAAGTTCATTCTGCCCACAGCTATCTCCATCTGTGCAGATGTTCAGAACTTGACCAGACAAGACTCTGAGCAACCTGCTTTTTGAGCAACAGGTTGGATTGGAGACCTTCAGAGGTCCTTTTCCACCTACATCATCCTGCAAAGGAGACCACTGACGTGGCAGTGACACACCATACTAGAAACATCTTGCAATCCCTTGTAATTTTTTTTAACCGTGGGCTCCGAGCGAATTAAGCCTATTCTCTGTCAAGTGGCAGCTCTGCTGTGTTAGATGTGGGGTAGATGTCCACCAGCTTGCAGCAGCTGTTGCAAAGCCAGGTCTCCTCTATGGTTTGAGCTGTTGCAGACCTCATATGCTGAAGATATTTTTCTGCCTTGTTTTTCCCTTCAGTGCCTTTGTCTTCCCCTCGCTCCCTGCGCGTCTCTGAGCTGAGCCACAACAGCATGAGGCTGAGCTGGAAGGCAGCCCAGGGAGCCACGCAGTACCTGGTGCTCTGCTCCGCAGCCCCTGATGGAGCAGAGGACTATACAACAGAGGTAGAGTTCATGAGAATAATGAGAATAATGACAGTATCGTTTATTCTCTGTCTGGGTGGAGTTTAGTTCCAGCTCTAACCTTTGTGAATTGCTATCACGTGTTTAAAAAAAAAAAAAAAAAAAAGAAAAAGTCAGTATTAATGCCAGCAACATCGTTCATGGAAGATTTTGGGTTTTTTGTTGTGTATCTCAAAGCGATTCCTAACTGTGAGGGTTTCAGCTGGGAAATCAAGGCATAGGGAGAGAACTGACTGTCTCATGGGGCCATGGAAACCCAGGCACTGAATCGCATCTCGGCAGCCCCAAGTGTAGTTGCTGTATCCTTAAGGCTGTGAATAAATGTCTTTACTGTGTTTATCTCAAAACATTAATTGAAAATTTGTTAGGGCAGTTTTGGCTGACCTCTACAAAGAGACCTACAACACAAAACAACGCCAGATGAATGGAAAAATCCTTAAAAACCCCTAAGAATCGTTTATCATGTGTGCATTTTAATGAGTTATCTGGAGCACCTGTGGGCTGAGGATATGAATAAAAAAAGTAAAAATAAAAAAAAAGAGGATTGGAGGGGAACATGTATTGCCTCTTTCACTCAGATTCCCCACCCCCCAACCACACAGCTATAAGAGCAATGGCAGGATGGTTTTCGAAACAGAGCAATTAATTCTTGTGCTCTGCTTTCCGTGCGTAATTGTGTTTTCTTTTTTTTAAGTTCCAGAATATTTGAAGAGAGACCAACGTTTAAAATTGTATTTTAGCATATTGGAACATTTCTGCAGTTACCTGACCTATGCTCTGTAAGAGTGCAATGCTCTAAGGCTATGGGATGTCTGCAAAACCAGCACTAAAATATTCCCAGCCTTTCATAAGACCGTGCTCCATCGCGTGCAGGCTGCTGGAAGTCTCCGGAGCGCGTTTCTGCGGCGAGGAGAGCTGTGGCCGTGCCGTGCTAGCGGCAGATGGCAGCAACCCGGCTGCCAGGGGTCTGCTTGCAGCAGGCAGCACTTCTGCAAGAGCATTCCACATGCCTGAGCAAAGTGGGATCACGTCTCTCGCGTGCCCCCTTATCCAACCCAGAACAACAGCAGCAGCATCTTTGTATGAGACACTTACACCTCTGCAGATTGGGGTAGGAGAAGGTGATAGGACAAGGGGCAAAGGCTTTAAACTGAAAGAGGGAAGATTTTGATTAGATCTAAGGAGGAATTTTTTTACAGTGAAGGTGGTGAAACAATGGAACACGTTGCCCAGAAAAGCTGTGGATGCCCCATCCCTGGAAGTGTTCAAGGCCAGATTGGATGAGGCTTTGAGCAACCTGGTGTAGTGGAGGGTGTCCCTGCCCATGGCAGGGGAGTTGGAACTAGATGATCTTCGAGGTCCCTTCCAACCCAAACCATTCTATGTTTCTATGATTCTATGTGTACCCTCAACACTCTTGGTGTCCCTTGGGAAGAGAGACAGAGCACTGTAGAGCACCTACCCAAGTGGTAAAGTCCCAAAGTGGTGAAGTCCCCTTAGTGTAACCAAAGGGAACTTAACCTGTGTCTCTGTAAGGTCTTGCTCTGTTGAGGACATTAGTGGGTACCCCAGAACCAAAGGGTACCCCAAAACATCTCTCTGTTGACAGGTGAAGGTGGCCCAGCCTGAGGTCGTGCTGGATGGGCTGTCACCCAGCACGGAGTACTCTGTCGCAGTGTACGCCATGTATGGGGAAGATGCGAGTGATCCAGCCAGCATCCAGGAAACCACCCGTAAGTGCTGCTGCTGCCTACTGAGTCGTTATTAAACACTTAAGGCAGGAGAGATGTGTTAAATGAGGTGCTTCCCGTATGGTGCATGTGGCTTGTAAACACGCTGCCTCTTCCCCGCCTGATCTTAAGTGAATATTAGTCCCCAAGGGGATCTCCAATTACATGGTGAACTGTGAAAAAGGAGTGATTTTCCCTTGGAAAAAAAAAGTCCTGAAAGAGCTATTCCCTGAGGTCTTTGTTGTTTGGGAAGAAAAAGGGAATTATTTGGCTGTTTCTTCATCTAGAGCCCAGGCAGCTTTTCATGACACCCCAAAGACATGTATGGTAGTGACATAAAGAGACTCATTTCCCGCACGGTGAATGAGTCTCTTAGTTCAAGGTGGGGTCATTCAGAGCAACAGGAGGTAGCCAGTGGCATTGCTGTTGTGAAGCCCACGAAACCTCGGATTGCTGTCACGAACTGTTGTTGCAGTGGCCTTGAGTCCTCCCAGATACCTGAGCTTCTCCGAGCTCAGCCACGCGTCCGTACGAGTCAGCTGGGAGGCTGCGTCTCCGGCCGTGAAAGCTCACCGTGTCACCTATGTCTCTAGCAGAGGGAGCAACGCTGGGGAGGTGAGTCCTCAAGGGGTTAGTAGAAGGGAAAGAAACTTGGGATGTCAGATACTGCCCTGTTGTCCTTCAGCTGCATGGTTCAGAGAGGGCTTAAGGGCTCTTTGGATGCTGTTGCCACCCTCTCTTAATGTCCCCATGCTCCTCTCCTAATTCTCATACAACTCCCCCACTGCAGGTAGAGGTTCCTGGAACTGCGACATCCACTGTCCTGAGACCTTTGTCTTCCCTCACCCAATATTTCATCAGTGTCCGATCTATGTATGATGAAGGGGACTCCTTTCCAATTACTGGCAATGTTACCACCTGTAAGTAGGGAATGGAAATGGTTTTGGTCCCAATTAACAGGTGACAAAACTGGTTTGTATGTGTCTGAACTGGGATGTTTTAAAGACCGGACCCAACGCTCATGGCCAAAGCCCTTGCACAAACCACAGAGGACTTATTCTTTGTGTGAGGAATGCATCCAACTGTGTTGTGTTTAAAACAAGGTGGAAGGAATAAAGGAAAGGAGCAAACGAAGAAAAAGCACCATGTATTGCTGACCTTTGTGTCCTTGAGAGCCCTCCTAGCCTTCTCCCCTTTACAATACCAGCGTGATGCATGTCCTCTCCACAAATGAAATAATCCTCCTTAATTAGAGTTTTAAAATCATTTACCCCTCTCTGTCCTGATGGTTGTTGTCATATGGGTCTGACGAAGTGAAAGACAGGTTAGTCTCAGACATCTGCCTGGTTGATGTTTTGCTCCCCAACCATCTGCTTCCCACCTTGGCTGTGACAAGGTGCTGTCAGTGCCTGCGCTTCAGCTGGTTTTCCTTCTGCATCCCTCAGTAAAGGTCCCCTCGCCGCGTGCACTGAAGGTTACCGAGCTCTCCGGGAACAGCCTCCGACTGCAGTGGGAAGCTGTGGCTGCCTCCGACGTGGTTGTCTATCAGATCAAATGGAGCACAGTCGGTGGAGAGAAGCCTCAGGAGGTATGGACGCATGCACAGCTCTGGGGATGCTGGTGCCTGCTTGATGGTTCTGAACTCACCTGCAAGCGACACAGGGAGGTGCCAGACTGTTGAGGTTAATGCACTCAAGAAATTAAACAGTTCAGCACCCAGCTGAAGGAGCCTATGGAGTAAGACAGGGTCTGCCCTGGATCTAGCTCTGTTCAATGGAGCTGTCACCTTGAGTGCTGGAAGCAGGAAAAACAGTAGGACAGCAGGGCTGAAGTCCCACAGGCTCTGGGAAGATTGTAGAAGTGTTCTGGAAAATCTCAAGGATGAAATTCAATAGGGACAAGCAGAAAGTATTAAGCTTAGGCAGGAATAATTAAGTACAGGTATACAGGATGTAGAACAAAGAGCTAAGGAGCAATTCAGTAGAAAAAGATCTGGGGTTGCAGAGAATCACCAGCCCACAATGTCAAGTCGTTGTGGAAAAGACAAAGGTAATACTTGAGTATTTATAGCTATAGGTATCACCTCTAAGACAGGTGAAGCAACTTATGCTTTCCCCAGCGCTGGTAAGCACTGGCTACTTTTGGGATACTGCTCTTCAAGAAGGATGAGGTCCTACTGAGGAGCATACAGAGGAGAATGACCACCAGAGCTGGTGCAGGAGGGGCAGGGATGAACCATCTCAAGCCTCTGTTTTCAAGATGAGCACAACCAGCAGTTGAAGTGGGTTAAATACACAAGTCTCTAGTACAACACTTCACGTTTGGGCTGGAACAGGGGGCTGTAGTGGGGCTTCTGTCCTCAACACATCTAAAGCTGGAAAGCAAGCAAAGACATTTCATGCTCCAGGCAGACTGAGTGCCTCGTGCCAGAGCACTGCACTGAGACACTGAAGTAGTTGCTGAATGTAACTGGGGAGCAGTACCTGGGCATCTACTCTGTGTTAATCAGGGATGGAATTTTGCCTTTGCTTAGATGTGTGCAACCCACCACAGTAGACTTCATCCCCAAAGCCCAGTGTTAACTCATTTGTGCCTACGGGCAATCTGTGAGACAGACACTTGGATGGTGTCAACTAGCCTGGGGATGCCTGGGGACCTGACTGACTCATTTCTTCCCCTGCTGCAGCTCTCCATCGCTGGAAACGTGGCAACTGCTGTCCTGCCAGGCTTGCAGAAGAACACCGACTATAAAATATCCATCTGGGCCTATTACAAAGACGGTGCTCGAAGTGACACGGTTTCTGTTCAGCACAGGACCAGTAAGTGATCAGTGCTGGGTATCCACAGCCTGGGGATAATAAACAGGACACGGGATGCCTTGAAACCCATCATGGAGCAGCAGCTCATATCTGGTCATCTCCAGCTCTGAAAAACCAAACCTGAATGTCTGAAAGTGGTTGGAGACATTGAACCTTCTGTCTTAAAGCGTTCTGAATTTGTTCTGAGAAATACAGGCTGGGCAAGCACAAGCGGGTTGGTGCATCTTACAGGCATCCGATACCCTTGCAATGTGTTTCACGTAGAATACATTGCTTTTCCCCCTTTCTTCTGTGCACTGTATTGATGCAGACAAGTTGGCTTTCTGTAGGGTGTTCAGCTGAACACGTCACTGTGCTGCCTAATGAGCGTTTCCTGCTCATTGTTCCTCTGTTAAGGAGGGTGAGGATTTCTTCAGCCACGTCATTGCTGAGCTGTGCTTCATCTGAGGGCACTTAAAAAATGAGAGAGAATCCTGCAGGCAGACTCTGCCTGGAAGCATCATCTAAATCTCACTTTGCCCAGGCAGGATATGAGGTTAAAAAGTGGCTCTCCCAGCCGTCCTCTTAATTAATATTGCCTGTATGATGGTTTTGTTGGCAGTGAATGGGACACAATTCATTCACTGCAGCAGTCCTCTCCTCCATCTCTCAGCTCTTGACCTCCTTTGCAGAAGGAACTCATTTAGGCTGAATTCACTGCAGCAGTCCTCTCCTCCATCTCTCGGCTCTTGACCTCCTTTGCAGAATGAACTCATTTAGGCTGGTGTTGAGCTGATGAAGCTCAGAGCAAATGGCAATCTTGGAATAAGAAGGTCAGGTTTTATTAATAATGAATAATAATTACGTACGTTTGTATAAAGCTACCTCGGACAAGCACCTAGGAGCTGCATGCTGGCAAGTAAAAAAGATAAATGAAAGCATCCTATAGGTATATAATGATAAAAGGACAGTGAGAGCTGGTTAGAGGCTTTGGAAAATGAGTGGCTACGTTTTAAGCCATGAATTATAAAATGTCAGAGTTGCTCCCTCAGCCCACCGCAAACGGCACGCGATGGTGCCCTTGTAGGCGTGTTTGAACAAGCCAGTCCTTGCTGGTGTTGGCACCCCAGTGAGACGTGGAAGGCAATTTGACTTCTGCCTGTCAGCCCCAGTCCTTGCTCAGGAGCAAGGATGCCTTAGGGGTGCCAGGCTTTGCCTTGCTGCGTGAAGGAAGTGAAGCGCTCAAAGAATTTGGGTGTGCAGCTGGGCAGCCAAACCTGGGGGCTGCTGCTTGGCTTGCATGAGCAGTCGAGAGAGTGCCACAAACTTCTCAGGGCCAATATTTGCATGTGTAATCAATGCTTTTGATGGACATTCTTTCTTTTTAATGTTTAAAGTAAGAAGTGCCCGCATAGGAGAAGTGGCACAGGAGAAGGGGTGGATGATGATTGCCAGGAGGCAGTGCTGGTCTTGGGCAGTTCGGAGGAAACTTGTGGAAGCCAGCAAATAAAATAAGGCTTGTGCAATGGATGTATGGGAAGATGTGGCATTAGGCATAACTCTAGGAAATTCTGGGTTATGGTTATACTTCAAATTTTTACTGTTTCAGGCAAAAGCTACCATCTTGTACTGTGGTTAGGATGTCCAACAAGGTCAATCCACATGTCAGAGCTGGTGAATGGTAACCCATTCAGCTAGAGCATGGTGATATCTTATGTTATCTGAAAAACCTCAAACCCTTGGTTTGATTTTTATGAGCCCTCTCCACCCTAATTTTCATCATAAAATGAAATTCTGGGGGCTGAAACACCAATGAAAGCTACCTAATTCTCCTCAGGATGGCAGACTTTGGGCTGCAGTCTGGTGAATAACTGTCATCAGGCTGTGCTGAACAAAACCAAAAGCACAAACAAAACTAAAAGCATGTGTTAGAGGATGTTGAGAAACCACTCTTACCTTCATCACCTTACCTTTTCTCTTTTCCTCTCTTGGCAGCATCCCCTTATATAGGAGTAGGTCAAGTCATTAAGTTTCTCTTAAAAATGCTATCTGCTATCACCTTACTTTTACATGAACCTGAAACCCAGCCAAAACCTGGTGCCAAAGGAGTGCTTTAGTTGTTGCAGAATGCATGGAGCAAGTGGAATTTTTTCAATTCTTAGTCTTGAGTAGGGAAAAAAAGGAAAAAGTTTAGGATCATTTTTCAGTTGCCCAGTTAAGCAAACCTTTCTCTGCAGACTTCCCAAGAGGCAGAGCAGCAACAAAAGCAGTCTGATGCATTTCCTACGGATAACGAAATTGTTGCCGTGTGCTTATCCACAGTTCTGATGTTTCTTCTTGTCTTTCTGCTATGTTTAGACTGAAGTCTTGTTTGGGTTAAGAGCTCTCCTTTCAGTACATGACTATAAATTGTCGAGTGTAACAAAGTCCTCATCCTTGACCAAAGGCTCGGTGCAGCCATCACTTGTCATATTAATAAACAGCCTTAGTGGTACTTCAAACATATCTAAACCTTTCATGCAAGCTGGTGGGAGTGCAGGAGATGCTCTTTGGCAGAGGAAGCTGCTGAGACACAGAGGTGTTGCTGAGCAGTGATCCTTGGAAGATGCTGGAAGGGGTGGCTTTTGATCCTGCTGAGAAGCAAACAGGGACCTCTCTTTTGTAGTGAGAGGAAGTTCTTTCATGCAGGCTGAGAAAAAGGAGCTTGAACAAAATAAAACAGTCACCTGTTTGTTCTGAAGGACAAGGATATTAAGGTCTCTCTCTGCCAGAGTTTCAAGATTGAAGCTCCGAGGCAGCGGTGATGTGAATGAGCATTGGAGGACGTGTTAGCAGTCCGTGGTGGCACAGGGACTCTCCCCACAGCAAAAGGGCTGTGACATGACCCAGCAATCTGGATGCAAGAGCAGCACTTTAAGGTCTGTTGTATATGAATTTCAGCAGAATAACAACTTATTCAGCCTGTCAGGTTAATTATGCTGTCACCATAAATGCTCAGGTGCTGCTCACCATCCTGGCCCAGCTTAGCTCAAATCCTACCCAGAAGTTTAAAGTGAGGTTGCGTTGTGTCCCAGGCTCAGTAAAGGAATGGTGACATGTTAAGCCACCATGTCCCAACTGTGTTTCCAAATCTTAGTTGTTTGCTAACATGGGCTTTTCCAGGCAGAGGGACAAATGGACCAGACTGCAATAGGGCAGCCCACGTAGTACGTTGGTCCATCAGATTAAGAACCACAGAGGTGAGGCCGTGAAAGGAGTCCCTCAGGTTAGGCAAGATGGGACAAGAATTAGTAAATGTGGACTCAGGAGGATCTTCTTCACAAATTTGGCAATGTTACCCCTCCCCATCCTTCCCATCTGTTCAGAAAGTGTCTCTTGGAAGCTTCTGCCACTGGGGCAGTGGCAGAAGTGATGAGAAGTGCCTCATCCTCTTCGTGTGAAGAATGAAAGAGCAGTTTGGGTCGGAGCTGCTGCTGAAGCTGGGCTGAGCCACCCTGGCTGGCTTTGCACTGAAGTGGACCACGAAGTGGTTGTGTGCCTCGTTTCTCTAGCTAAGCTGTGCCAGAAGCATCTCCAGCCCGGGGCTCATAAATGTCTTCAAGTTCTTTATCCAGCTCTTCAATGAGCTCTTCCCACCAGAGCATACGTTGCAAACAAAAGGGATTGAAATGTGGGGAAGAAGCTTCAACCCATGGCAGTGAGGGGAAAAACATGGCTTATATAATCATTGCAGATTAATATTGTGATGGAGCAGAATCCAGGGTTTTACTCTTATTTGAAAAAATGCCTGTGATTCTGGTTAGACCCGAGAGCAAGCAGCCTGGGATTCCTCCTGCAGAGGAGCAGAGGTTCCAGAGGTAGTCGAAGGCACAGATGGTGTCCTCTGCGTCAGGGATGCTTCCTTCCTCCCGGACAGCTTCGGGAGGTGACCTTTCCCCTGGCTGTCAGATCCATGCCATCAAATCCTGCCGGGCCTGGGGGCTTTCCACTGTAAACCTGACTCAGAAGACTTTCCCTAACTTTCCCTTTGTTTGCTTAAACAGCATCTCCACTTCCCTCGGCTGAAGGAAATAGCCAATGTAGTCGGCAAATACGCAGACGTACAGCACAGCACTAATAAAGTGCTGTTCAAGTGACTTCACCTCCCACACTTGTTTTCTTCTCCACTTTACCTTGCGGTGATGCACAGCAACAGCCTCCAGCCTGGTTCAGCTGCCAGCAAACTTGGTTCAGCTTCAGTAAAAGTAAGCTCCTTTTGTACGGAGAAGGGAAGGAGGATCAATGAAGATGCAAATGATCTTCGTTCAACCTGTGCTCTAAGGTCACCCGAGACTTTGCTGGGTGGGCAGAAGAGCCTTACAGGTGAAACTGCAGAATAGAAATCTCACAGCCTGGGTGTGTGTCCTTGACTGTCTCACCCACAATTTTTAGTCTGTTCTGACTAAAATGCATCCTTTTCTCTGTCCAAGACCTCTGTGTTTTCACACCAGCACGGGTTCAAGACCAGACACATGCACTTATGCAGAGCAAGATGCTGGTTGGAAACAAACTCCAGGAGCAGATGACCTCATGCTCTTGAGCCCCTTGTTTGAAGAGCAGATGGATTTATCCCACTCTGCCTTTATCTTGCTGACTCTGAGCCACTGCTCGGAGGAATCACTCCAGCATAACAGCCTCTGTTACCAGGTCCAGTTTGCTGCACAGCAGGACCCCAGGGAAAGAAATGCATTTAAATAATTAAAATTGGTCTCTGGCAAACCCTTTTCTGCCTGACAGCAGCTCAGCCCATCGGCTATTTGGGATACATCCATCCATCACAGTGCAGGGCCAGAAAAGGGAGAGCAGCTCAGGCACCGTACCTGCTCCCCTCCTCGAGGCCGTGGTGTTGGTGTAAGAAGTGCTAGACAAAGCTGTTGTGTGCTGGATGCTCTGGGGATTTTTAGAATAATTTTAAAACAGAAAGAAAAAGCTGGAAAATATTAAAAATGATGATGGATTTGCTTTGAAGTGTGATCCAGATTTAACCAGCAATCAAGATGTTTGTCCAGACTGACCTCAGATCTTTGATGAAATTCAGTTGCAGTTTGGGTCTTTATGAAGGGTATCCTTTGGTGTTAGTCTGTGATGCATACAAAGGATCTCTTCTCCTTGTGCTTCCAGGACTCTTCCCTCCTTCCAGTATTTTTTTCCAGGTCCTAGGATTTGAATTGTTGAACGTTTGAGTCGTACTGTGCTGTACTTGGGCAATCCTCATCCCTCTGGGGTCTGTTTTCTCTCTTGCCTGGTTCCCAGGGTGACTACTTCTGCTCTGAGCATGGGCTAACAGTACAGCAGAGCACTGAAGCCTTCAGAAACGGGCTTGGAAGCGAGTGCTGCTGGCCCTGTTTGTAGACATCCCTACCTGCCTTTTACGTCGGTCACTTTTCATCCCTGCCGCAGATTCCCGGAGCCCACCCACCAACCTCTTCATCGACTCCGAGACCCCCACCAGCCTCCAGGTCCACTGGACCCCCCCCGAGGGCCGCATACAGCACTACAAAATCACCTACAGCCCTGTTTCTGATGCCAGTGCTCAGCAAACAGTAAGTGTCCAGCTCATTTGTAGGTGGCAGACACTGGACCAGAGGGGCGTGGGGACAATTCCGTGCCCAGGGGAACTCTGCTCACTCCAGTATGGCTCACCATAAGGTTAGCTGGTTTGCAGGAGTACAAAACCATATCTCTTCCCCTGAGTTGCTGGATGTTGCTTTGTGAAAAGGACCTCCAGGCTTCTTTGTCATTAAGATATTTTTGTCCATCAAAGCCACTAATGATTCATCTTTCTCCCCTCCCTGAACTGGGGTGGGGAATTCTTGGAGGCAGAGAGGTAGAGGATAAACATACGGTCCCTCTGACTTAGGGACATTGAGCATTAACTTTTTAAAATGCAGATTTTCTGCTCAAACCCAGACTGGTTGCTGTGTTATGAGGCACTTTGGCTGCATTTGCATGGGGGATGTTGGGGGTCTTTACACAGAGAAATGCCCTTCCCCATGGCACAGCTAATCCGATGGCAATGCGTAGCCAGGCTTCCTTGGCTTGCTTTCACCGTTGCCTGGACTAAGCAGGGATATACCCTGAGTCCTGCCGTCCCAGGTCTCACCACTAAATCCCCTCTGTGTAGCCCCAGAGTACAAGAGCTGTTAACAGGAAACCTGCCCAAATGTTGGGCTTTTTTTTGCACCCCGCTGTAGATCATGGCTTCTGGCAAAAGCAGCAGCGTCACCCTGCAGTCGCTGCTGCCTGACCGAGCCTACAAGGTGATCCTTTCTGCCGTCCATTACACAGGAGAGAGCGAGAGCACGTCCACGACGGGACGGACGGGTAAGTGTTCCAGTCAGCACGAGCGTGTTCTCCATAACCTTCCATGCAACGGTCTTGAGGTGATCTCCACTGGGGCAGCGATGTCCTTGCTTGCACTGGGCTGTGGCCAAGGTCAGGGTTTTGGTCAGCAGGGTAGGCTACCAGCCTTGAAAAGGGGAAATCCTGCCCCAATTTCTGCACATTTCTGTGCATTATTTCAATTCCAGGATGACCGGGAAGCCAGCTGACCATCCGGGTCTTGAGCAAGGCATCGCTGTCCTGAAAACAGAGCTCATGTGTGCATTGTTTTCTCTTTCAGCTCCTGTGTTGTCTAAATTCCCTTCAATACGAGGATTCATTCCATCTAAAACAGAGGGTAAATCACCTCCTATGAAGTCTTGCTTTGTTTTTCGTTTTCTCTAACAAAGGGCACAGTGTGGGCTCTGCAGGACAGGCAGGAGTGGGTATGTCACGTCTTGACAGATGCCTCTGGGGACTGTCCAAGGAGAGCCAGAAACCACGTAACTTCTTAAAATCAGACTTGATTAGTAAAGAGACTGATAGTATTTTTAGAGGATTTCTGCACAACTCGACCAAAATGGAGCAAAGGGAATGATGACACGTTTTAAATTAAAGCTCCCTGTAAAGTCCCTTATTAAAATTAATGAGCGTATGTTCTCGTAGCTGATATAAAGCAAACTATGAAATGGATTAGTGAGAAATGTTGAATTAACAGGGTTATTAAAAGTTGTTAAGAAGTAAATATTAGAATACGGATACTGTGGCAGTGCTGGCTTTTCCTGTCGGTTTGAAATGATTCTAAACAAAACTTCAGGTTTAAAATTTATTGAGGAAAGCCAAGAAACAGATTAGTTGAGAAAATTTTAGTTTATGCCCAACAAAGAACATACTGGTCTAAGTTTTCAAGTGGCTTATTGAAGAAAACTCCTGGTGTTCAGACCACAGTGGAAAAGTCCTATGAACTTTTAAACAGAAAACAATCCTCCCATAAGGTTGATGAGTCAGCTTGTGGAATTTAATATAGCTGTTTGGCTATGATGTTAGAGAAGACAATAGAAAACTATTAAATTCTTAGTGTTTTATAAAGTAACTTTTGTGAAGAAGTGGAGATGATATGTAGTAATACTGGAAAAACTGTTGGGTGTGCAGTAAAAGACTCCAATATTGATAGTGTGACGGGATTATTGGATGAAATGGTCTGACATTGCAGGAGTGAATGTTTATTGCACAGTGAAGAACTGCATTTGGCTGGGACTTGGGGAGAAAAACAAAAAACAAAGAGAACAAAAAGACAGCAGGGATCCCAGGCTGGAAATTCTAGGAAAAAATCTTCAAAGTAGAAGTGCAAACTGCCAGTGTCAGGGGTCCTTACCCTGACTCTGATAGGCTTTGACTAAGCTGAGCATTGCCAGATCAAAGAGCTGGGAGCAATCCAAGCACATCCAGCCTGGGAAGGAGGTGAGAACTGCCAGGGATGTCAGCAAGAGGGACACTGGGGTCTGGGCAAGGGTTGGGAAGAGCTCCCTGACTCCCAGGCAAGACAGTCAGATACCTGGTAAATGGGCAAGTTTACAGCCTGCTTACGTGACTTGGGCAGAATTTCTTTTTTTTTTTTTTTTTTTTTTCATCGGGCTTCAATTCT